CAGAGCAGACTGGTAAGTAGGAGGGACTGGACCTGGGTGCTGTGTTGTTCCTCTAGAGCTGATTTCTTCATCTCTCCTCCTGCAGTAGGAGAGGCGAAGGCAGAACTTCAACCGCCTGGCCATGGCTTCTCAGTCCCAGGACGGGTCTAGTCCAAAAGGCACCGCACCGAATCGCACCTCCCTCCATCTGGACAGGCTCGGGCAAAAACAGGTGAGCAGAGTCTGAATGAGCCTGCCTGCTAGGTTCAGGTTTTTGTCGGTTCGTACTGTCAGGCTTTTCTAGGCAGATCAGGACAGGAGAACCCAGTTGCGCAGGCAGGACTCAGGAGGCAGACGTATAAAATAAAATACTTTTAATAATAATAATAATAATAAATCAAAAGGCTGACATGGCAGCAAAAACTTACAAAAACAGATTCAGGAACAGGATTAAACAGGATCAGACAGGCAGGACAGATAATACCTAACAACGAACCGACAACGACAGAACTAACAGACACACTTTATATACACAAACAGGACATGACACAGGTGACGATAATCTGACAATCAATACAGAGACACGAGGGAGAACAGACAGGGGAAGGCCCACTAGATGGCGCCATCACTACACCTGCGATAAGTGGATGATCCACAACGTAGGGATGTTATATTTATTTTAGTATTTATTTAAAGGCTTTATTACCCCAGACCTCTTCATTTGAGTGATGAACATATGGGGAGTTGCTGGCGCTGCTTCTTCTTCACAAAAGCGCACAGTGAAACAGACTGATGTTACGGTTTATGAGCCAATCAGCACCCGAGACACAGAGCACAATGCTCTGGTTGGTTGTCTTCCATCAGCCAGTCATGCGTCGTGTACAATTTTATTGAAAACCCGTCCCGCTAATCAGTGAGTCCACAAAAGTCGAACTGCGTAGTAGTGAGGATCTACTGTATATATTTATAGTTTTAGCTTCAGAGCTAATAGTTAGATCCAGACTAATGTAAGCTCATGAATTAAAAATAAGTTCATTAAGTTTGATTGTTTCGGCCCATATATTGTGCATAAGGACTAATATAAAATATAACTTTATTGTCACGTTGTATCTTTTTATTAACTCCTTGTGTTTGATGCTCCACTACAACCGAGGTATGTCATTGCTCCAGAATGCTAAAGAGGTGGCTAACAAACCACTAGCTTGATGCAGTCAACATGTTTGACTCCGTGTATTACAAAAGAAATAAATGACAGGAAAACTAGTCCTTTCTATTGTTGGTATAACAAAAACTAAAATTCAGTTTTAGTTTAGTTTGGGTCTAAGCTTGAAAGAATTACTGCAGGGGGGGCCAAAGAGCCGCATGTGGCCCCAGAGCTGCAGGTAGATGCTCATACCTCTGAATAGAAGAAGTTAAGATAAATTGCTTAAATTTCACATTTAGTAAGATAAAACCTGAAAATGTGATGTCTTCTATCATCTTTGACTTTATTTTTAATCATTTACTCAACAACAACCTCAGTTTTTCTGTTTCATGTTTTTTTTCTGGCCCATTTAACACAAATCATTTTGTAAAATAAATTTAAAACTTTGATAAATATTTTAGACTATGTTTGGTTTTGGTTTCTGTTAAACGATTTGCAACACATATCTAAAATGTAAAAGATTAAGTACAGAAAGTCAGTGTATATATTAACTTCTGGATGAATCATTAAACATACAAATCAAGTTGTGACAAGGTTTTGAGTCTGATGGAAACATTATTAATCCTAAAGGTTGTTTCAGTCACAGTATACTACATTTAATGTATAATTCAGTTTACTGTGGAAACATCTGACCAAACTAAAATTACAGAGGCTGCAAACTGCGGCTTTTCCTTTAATGATCAACCAAGTTTTTATCCTCATTTAGTTTAAAGATTTAAACACTGGGTAGCACGATGGAACAACTGGTAGAGTTGCTGCCTCTCAGCGAGCAGGTCCTTGGTTCAAACCCCGGTCCAGGGGCCTTTCTGGGTGGAGTTTGCATGTTCTCTCCGTGCATGTGTGGGTTTTCTCCGGGTGCTCCGGTTTCCTCCCACAGACCAAAAACATGCATTTTAAGCTGATTGGTAACTCTAAATTGTCCCTAGGTGTGAGTGAGAGAGTGAATGGTTGTTTGTCTTGTTTGTCTCTATGTGTCCATGTGATGGACTTGCGACCCGTCCAGGGTGTACCCCGCCCCTCGCACAGTGATTGCTGGACATGGGCACCGGCGACCCCCGTGACACAAAATGGAATAAGCGGGTAAAGATAATGGATGGATGGATTTAAACACTCTTCCACAAACTGTTCTTGTAGTTGCAACATGTTTGAAGGATTTCTGACTGCAAAGCTGAGGATATGTATCTTGACAAAATGTTGTCACCTTTTTCTTTTTTTAATTTTATTTTAATTTCTCAAGTTTTACTTTAAATTTAGATGTGATTGATCTTTATTATTATTATTATTATTACTTTATTTTACCAGGAAGAAATCCATTGAGATTATTAATCTATTTTACAAGGATGTCCTGGACAATATGCAAATACAGCAACACAGTCTTAAAAACGGTAACAGTAGTACTAAAATATTTACAACAAAACATCCATTAGTACAAACTGGATTCCAAAAAAGTTAGGACACTAAACAAATTGTGAATAAAAACTGAATGCAATGATGTGGAGGTGCCAACATCTAATATTTTATTCAGAATAGAACACAAATCACAGATCAAAAGTTTAAACTAAGAGAATGTATCAGTTTAAGGGAAAAATCTGTTGTTTCCAAATTTCATGGCGTCAACAAATCCCAAAAAAGTTGGGACAAGTCCATTTTTCCCACTGTGTGGCATCCCCCCTTCTTCTTACAACACTCAACAGATGTCTGGGGACAGAGGAGACCAGTTTCTCAAGTTTAGAAATAGGAATGCTCTCCCATTCATGTCTAATACAGGCCTCTAACTGTTCAATCGTCTTGGGCCTTCTTTGTCGCACCTTCCTCTTTAAGATGCGTCAAATGTTCTCTTTAGGTGAAAGATCTGGACTGCAGACTGGCCATTTCAGTACCCGGATCCTTCTCCTATGTAGCCATGATGTTGTGATTGCTGCAGAATGTGGTCTGGCATTATCGTGTTGAAAAATGCAGGGTCTTCCCTGAAATAGATGACGTCTAGATGGGAGCATATGTTGTTCTAGAACCTGAACATAGTTCTCTGCATTAATGGTGCCTTTCCAGACATGCAAGCTGCCCATGCCACAAGCGCTCATGCAACCCCATACCATCAGTGATGCAGGCTTCTGAACGGAGCGTTGATAACAACTTGGGCTATCCTTGTCCTCTGTGGTCCGGATGACATGGTGTCCCAGTGTTCCATAAAGAACTTCAAATCGTGACTCATCTGACCACAGAACAGTCTTCCATTTTGCCACACTCCATTTTGAATGACCTCTGGCCCAGTGCAAATGTCTGAGCTTGTGGAGCTTGCTTAGAAATGGCTTCCTCTTTGCACTGTAGAGTTTCAGCTTGCAACGGTGGATGGCACGGTGGATTGTGTTCACTGACAATGCTTTCTGGAAGTATTCCTGAGCCCATTCTGTTATTTCCTTGACAGTGGCATTCCTGTTTGAGGTGCAGTGACGTTTAAGGGCTCGGAGATCACGAGCATCCAGTAGAGTTTTACGGCCTTGACCCTTACACACAGTGATTGTTCCAGATTCTCTGAATCTTTTGATGATGTTATGCACGGTTGATGATGATAACTGAAAAGTCTTTGCTATTTTATGCTGGGTAACACCATTCTGGTATTGCTGCACTATCTTTCTGCGCAACAATGGTGGAATTGGTGATCCTCTTACCATCTTGGCTTCTGAGAGACACTGACACCCTGAGAAGCTCTTTTTATACCCAATCATGTTGTCAATTGGCCTAATTAGTGTTAATTGGTCTTCCAGCTGTTCGTTACATGCTCAATTTCCTTTTTCCAGCCACTTATTGCTACTTGTCCCAACTTTTTTGGGATTTGCTGACACTGAAATTTTGAATCAACATATTTTTCCTTTAAAATATTACATTTACTCAGATTAAACTTTTGATCTGTCATCCATGTTATATTACGAATCAAATATTGACATTTGCCATCTCCACATCATTGCATTCAGTTTTTATTCACAATTTGTTTAGTGTCCCAACTTTTTTGGAATCCGGTTTGTAAAACATAAAATGCAATGCAGTAAAAAATAAATAAATAAAAATAAAAAATCACATTTGAAGACACTTAACATTACAGTTGCAAGATGTTACTAAAACCTCAGAAATTTTTTGTTTAAAACTAGTTTAAAGAATAAAAGACTCTAACCTGAACTTAAGCTGCAGATCATTCCAGGACCATTGACCAAAATAGGACAACCTCATCTTTGCTGACTCTGTGTGCACAAAACCACAGCAGCTACTGGCCCTGAGTCTGTGTGTGTTTTGGAGCGAAATTAACTTGGAATTGATGTATGATGGTAATTTTCCTAAAATAGCTTTGTATATGAAAATATACCAATGCTTCATCCTTCTAATATTGAGTGAAGTAAGTCCAGCAAGCGTATATAAAGTACAATGGTGTGTCTTAAAATGTGAACCTGTTATATGCCTCAGAGCAGCGTGGTAAATGGAATCCAGTTTAGTTAACATAGTGGGAGAGGCAAATCTATAGATTGTGTCTCCATAACCCAGCTGTGATAAAAACTAGCTTGTTGCAAACTGCTTACGGGAAGAAATAGAAAAACATGATTTCAATCTATACAAAAAACAGAGTATTTTTTTGCTTTTTTAGTAGATATGTAAGGTGATGTTTGAAATTAAGATCTTTATCCAGCCAAATACCAAGATATTTGTATGTGTCTACAAATTCTATGATATCACCATTCAGTGTTTTAATAGAAGGCATGGTTACCACAGAATTTTGGGCAAACAACATAACTTTGGTTTTGCTGACATTCAGGACTAATTTCGAATCATGGAGAGCGTTCTGTAAGGTCTTGAAATTAGTTTGAAGATTTGAGTGTAGTGCATCTAGAGAGAGCGCTGACGAGTATAGAACTGTATCGTCTGCGTACTTATGGTAAGAGGAGAATTTAAGCTGATCACAGATTTGATTAATATAGAGTAAAAAGAGCAAGGGCCCTAAAATAGACCCTTGTGGGACCCCCTTGTTCAGTGTGACCGCATCTGACAAAATGGAGCCAAATTGAACAACCTGAATGCGTTTGGTTAAGTAGCTGTTAAACCAACTATCCATGTTTGTATTAAAGCCAAGTTTTTGCATGATATTGATTAGGTGACAGTGGTCCACAGTGTCAAATGCCTTAGTTAAATCAATCAACAATGCTAAACAAGCATGTTTACTTTCAAGTGCTATTTTAACATCATCTACTACTTTTAAGATTGTTGTGATTGTACTGTGTCCTGCCCTGAACCCAGACTGGAAATTGTAAAAAAGGTTGTTGGATTGAAGTAACTGTTTGAACTGGACAGACACCGATGACTCAAACACTTTTGCTAGAACTGAAAGATTTGAAATTGGTCTGTAATGGTTCATGTCTGAGGGATCTCCGGATTTAAATAAAGGAATGACAAAGGCCTGTTTCCACAAAGCAGGAAATGTATTTAAGGCAATTGACAAATTAAAAATGTCAGTCACAGTTTGTGCAATAATTGGAGCAGCCAATTTAAGGAAAAACGGATCAAGTCCATCAGGCCCTGCAGACTTCTTAAGATCTAATGTTTGCAAAGCGTGCAAAACATCCAACAACAGCAGAGGTGTATAGTTAAAGTTGGGATCGGAGTTGGGAATGGATAAATTGGATTGATTGATGATTCAGGGGATTCATGAGCAGCCTGTGTTGAGTCAAAGATGTGACCGGCCTTTTTAAAGTGATTATTAAATACGTTGGACATGCCCTTTTCATCAGTAACATAAGAATCATTGTGCTTCAATTTCTGTAGGAGGTTGAAAGCTGGCTTATTTTGTAACCTTTTAATTGTCTTCCAAAACTTGGAATGATCATTAAAATTATCTGTGGTTAAGTTTATATAAAAGTTGGATTTAGATTTTCTGATAAACGAAGTGCTTTTATTTCTAAGTTCACGAAAGCGCTGCCAATCAGATTCAGACTTGGTTTTTCTTGCAACTGACCATTGTTCATTTCGCTCATGTAGCAAATCTGCCAAATCCTTTGTGAACCAGGGATTGTCTCTATTCTAAGTTTTTTAAATGGAGCGTGTTTATTTATTATCAAAATGAATTTATCTTGGAAAAAGGTGACAGCATCATCAACAGAGGGTATCAAATTTATTTGTTGCCAGTTCACCAGAGCTATATCCTGAAGAAAGGCTTGCTCCAAGAAATGTTTAAAATAAAGTTTTTGACAATTCAACTCTTTGACTTTGTCGTTTTAGTGTTTCTCACACAAGCAATAAGCAATGATCGCTGATGTCATTCGGAAAAACTCCTATGGCCATATACTTGTAGGAGTATTTGTTAAAATAATGTCAATTAGTGTATCATTGCCTGGTTTTGCAGAATTGACTCTAGTAGGGCTATCAATGAGCTGGGTGAGGTTCAGAGTCACATAACTGCTTAAAGATTGAAGATTTCTCACTTAACCAATCTAAGTTCAAATCCCCCATTAAGATAAACTCATGAGACAAATGCTTAGATAAAATGTCAGACAGATTAGGGACAGAATCAGCAGATGCTGAGGGAGGCCTATAGCACCAGTTATTGTAATGGGAGAGTTAGCCAGAAATATTTGCACAGCCAAAAACTCATATTGTCTAGGAATAGAAACAGAATGCAATAGTGATCCTTGTAAATGTTCAGATACATACATGACTACACCTCCTGCTCTGCCTTTTCTGTCTGTTTGAAACACATTATAACCAGCAATATGAATAATAATATCAGGTACACTTGGTTTTAGCCAGGACTCTGAAACAATCACTATATCAGGTTTAGCACCATGAACCATGTTTTGAGCAGATCTAACTTTGGAACGAGGCTTTTTGCATAAAAGTGTAAAAAACCAACACCATGTCTATGGCTAAAGTTTGCAGGCATTGATAAGTGACACAGAGGATGTATCAAATGAAATAATGTATCCACATTTGGAGGGTGTACATTAGCCTTGTGGAACCGCAATAATGCCATAAAAACAAAAATGAAACAATAAATTTAACATTGGCCATTTTGATTAATACAAATGAGATCATGGGAAACAATAAAAGAGCACATCCGTTTGTTGTTACTGAAGACCTACACCAGGTTTCAGGTTGCTTTTGGGAGTAAGCTTAAAAAGGTTGTCACCTGGCTGGATGTCAAGGAAGAATCTAGCAGTGGAGGCCGAGCTGAAGGAGTGAAGTTTGTAGACTAGGCTTAGCTGATTGAGCAAATGTTAGTAGCCTACAGCAGGTTTAGCTAACAAGCAGGCTTAGCTGGAGAAGTCGGCGGGCAGAGAAGGCAGGACTGGAGAAGCTTATTAGCAGAGCAGGCTTAGCCAGAGAAGCTGGGTCTCTCCACTCTTCCTCCAGACTCCTCAAGTTGTTTTTCCCATTCAGCTTTCAATACCATCTGCACGGGCAAACTGATAGAGCTTTGCCTTACTGCCGCTTCCAGTTCTTTCACCTGTCTGCTTTTGATGGGTCCAAACTCTTCGCTCTAACACCTCTGTCGACAGGAAGAGCTAACCTTCATAGACCAGATTCAAAAAGTATTCTCACTTAAGAAATGAACAGCAACAGAGCAGCATTTTACACTGAAAACACTGCCTCCTGGTTATTTAAAGTACCTGCATCATATTTGTCTCCTTTATTTAAAGAAACTGTTGAAAAAGGTTAAATATTTGCCTATCCAAATGGGTTTGAAAACATGTATATTTAAATGATTAATTAATTAAGATAAGACAGAACTTTTCTGATCCCTCAGGAAGTTGTTGAAATCACACTCACTGTAAATAATAAAAATAAAAAAAAGTTTCATTTTTCACTTTCACTCATATATTGTTTGTGAGGGGCTTGCTGAGAAGTTATGACCAAACATTATCTTACCTGTTGTAGATGACAGTTTTATAATGGCACATAAGGGCCACTCTGAAGGAAAAAAAAATTAAGACTTTTTGTTGTTCTTGTTTCCCAGTTTCATTATTAAAGTCCCAATGTTGAGATTAGAATAGAAATCTTATCACCATTTAAAAAAGTCCTTTTTTTTCCAGATGCAAATCACAGTTCTGAGGAAAAAAGGTCATCTATCATAATGAAACTGTAGGAAGTGAACATTCTGCTCCTGAACTTGACTGCGTCTGTTCTGTTTTGTTATAATTGTATCTGAAGGTTTATTTAAAACCAAGAGGTGATTTGTTACTCCTGCTGCAGGGGAGCTCATGCAACTTGTTTCAAACCTTTCAAAATAAGAGACTTTTCCACAATATTTTGTCTTTTTTCTGGCAATAATGTTCTTGACATTCCAACTTCAATGTGAAAGTAAATAAAACAAAATAAAAATCTTCCTTTTCAATTGTATTCCTTTGAGTGGCCGTGCCTTCGTGCACTTTGAACAACTTCAGTTTAGTGAAATAAATTTAGATTCTGACTGAAGTGACGAGCTAACAGCTAGTATGTGTGGCTGAGCTCAAACATGTATTTAATTCTTTTCTTGAATATTTTACAGCAAATACTAGTTTATTTTTCTTGCATAGCCGTTAGTTCTGCAATACGATTATTTACATGGAATTCAAATAGCAACAGCAGCTACCTGTATTACGTCCTATGGGAACCCTTCTTTAAAAGAGCTGAACTATCCCTTTAACTACCATAGTACTTTCCATGTAGAATAATTCATGCACAGATCTGACTCTTGATCTGGTTTTATTAGCATAAAGTTTCTGAGTTTCTGTTCGTGTCATCGGCTTATCATAGATCTTTTCAATGTATTTATTTATTTATTATAATTATTTTTAGTGGTCTCTTCCTGTGTATAGTTATTTTGCAGTTGTAGTTTACAAGGTCTTGGTTCTGCTGATCGAGGAGTTGGGAGGAAGCAGCATTTTTCTGCACCGGTTCTTCGGCAAACCGTTCCGGATCAGCACTGGGCCCTGCTGCTGCTGCTGCCCCTGTCTACCCCACGTTCCCATGTCACGGTATATTTTTATTTATTAATTATTATTAACATCATTATATATTTTTACAAATACAGCTCAGATCTGTACAATTCTACCTTTATTCATTAAAAAATGTTCCTTGATGCTAAATCCATTATTTTCCACTGTTATTTTTGTGCACCATCTTTCTCCTACAGCTGTGAATTATGACTTTAAACTCTAACTTTGATGTTTTCGTGTCCTAAATTTTCAGGCGGATGTTGTTCCTGCTGAAGCTGGGGGCTCTGCAGTATGCAGTCCTAAAAACAGCACTCTCTGTCCTTGCTGTAGTCTTGTGGACTAACGGGAACTTTGACCTCTCTGATGTAAGCGTATGAAATGCTCATCCTGCACGGACAGTAGATGCTAAAGTTACATTTTTTTCCTTTTATTCCATCTTTTAGTTAGAGATTACTGGAGCAGCCATTTGGCTCAACCCGTTCATTGGAGTCCTCACCATCATCTCCCTTTGGCCTGTTGCCATCATCTTCATGAACACGAACAGATTCCTCCGCAGCCTCAACATTGTACCAAAGTATGCCATGTACCAGGTGAGCCAGATGGGTCTGCATGTTCTGCTAAAAGAACACAATGAGAAACAACAATGTGAGCTGACATCTTAGGAGAAATAACTTCACTGGCAATAATATCAGATTCTGCCACTTTTGACAGCTTAAACTTAAAAACATCTGAGATGTTAGAAACCTCTCCTGGTTTCTCACTGGTCTGTTTCCAAGCAGACTGGTCTTATGGGTCAATAGTTCCTAACTTTTTTACTTTCACTGCTTTTCCTCTCATTTTCTGTCCAGTTTTTGTGCCTGAACATGACATCATTTAGTTCAGCGTGTGCTTCAAAAACGTTGGTTACGTACTGTAACCCCAGATTCTATGAGTATAAGCGTAGCCCTTTAAGGCCTTCGCTTTAGTGGGTTTATCCCGTTATGCGCAGCATAAGCACTGAAAAAATTTAGTCCACGCCCACCTGCTGTGTGGGCCCCACCCGGTCCGAATAAATTACGTTAATAGCGGGAAATCGGCTCCCAAAATAGCTTTTTCTTCAGCCATTTAGGAGCCAGTGAGGCCCGATGCTTAAAGGGCTACGCTTATACTCATAGAATCTGGGGTTACAGTATGTAACCAACGTTCTATGTCGTATAAGCTTCGCCCTTTAAGGCCTTCGCTTTAGTGGGTAAAGGGCGAAGCCGATGTGGTCCTCGCCTCACTGGGTCCATTCGAACACCGTATGAAGCAGAAGCTTGCCCAAAAAAGTCTAATCACTCAGCTCCCATGTGCATAATTACGCATTGCGTAATTATGTGCCATGCACAGACGCATGTTGTGTAACTATGCATTCTGAATGCATGAACGCCCCGGAAACATCAACGGGGAGGGAAAAATGCTGAAAAGAGCCATGAACCAACCGGTTTACGGCTGAACCGTATGAACAGATTAATAATAACAGAAGAGCTGATTATTGATCAGATAAACTGATTGGTAACAATAGTCGTGAACTGATTAATGACAATAGAATCAAATAACAGTCACAACTTGTGATTGATAACACCTCACACTGTAATGCATGCAGACAGATGTGAATAAAACGGAGTTCCATGAAACAACAATGTTCATTCTGTAAACACTAAAGGCAGAATGTATCATGGAACAGGCCGTCACATCACCTAGATAAAGGCGAGTAATGAGCAGGGTGTTGACCACGCGGCCACAGTGCAAAATATCCTGCCTTGACATACCATTATGTAGAGCAGTCGAGAAAACGATACCTCTGGTCGAGTGTGCTCTGAGGTTGACAGGAGGCTCTAAATCTGATGCTCTGTAGGCTTCAGAAATAGTCTCGCACAGCCAGTGTGACAAGCGCTGGGTGGATAACGGGCGACCTGCAGATGCATCTCTATAATGCACAAACAAATGTTGACGCATTGCAGCTGTGCACACTATGTAACACGTCAACGCCCGCATGGGACAGAGAAGATAAAAAGACGTTACTTCATCTGATCTGTGTGAAAAAGGGGGGGGGGGACGACCCCTCCAACGATATCGCTCTTGATTAAAAAAGCTTGTGATGTATTAGGCATAAAAGCTGGGTTGATCTAAAATCAGCTGATCTGCCGTCAGCCTAATTTCTGAGACATGACGAAGCGACAGAGAGGGCAGATAAAAACACTCACTCTCTTAGCGGATGTTAAAGCCAGCAGTAGTGCTGTTTAAAAAGACAAGAATTTAAGTGGAACCTGATCCAAAGGCTCAAATGAAGCTTTGATCATGACCTGCAGGACCAGTATTAAATCCCACTGGAAACAAGTGGGTGTGGGACAGACCTGCTTCTCTGTACACCTTTTAGAAAACGTTTCATCAGAGGATGATAAAACCTGTTCTGTCTCAGAAACCTTCATGTCAAGAAGAGATGGCTGCAGCGTACGTTTTAAACGTGTTGGATGCAGATTTCTGTCCATCAGCTGCTGTAGAAAGAACAGCATGCCACCTAAAGAACATGAGGAGGCCTCTACATCCTTCTCTGTACATCAGCACTGAAAAGCTGTCCGCTTTGATGTGTACATCGCTGTGGTAGATGCAACACGTGAAACCTGAATTGTGCGCATTACATCCTGTGGGCAACCCATCCTCTGTAAGTGGATTCGTTCAACGGCCAGACCACAGGTGCTGGCCTATTTCTGGGTAACTCCTGGTCGCTTCTCCTGCCTGAAAGGGGAGTGTCCTTCCTCTACGGCAGTTCCCACGGGCACCCTGACAACAGGCATTTCAGGACTGGAAACCATGGTGCACCCAAGCGCTCGGGGCCTTCGTCTCATGGGCTCAGAGAAGCGCATAATTGATACTGAACGTTTCCCGTGTCACAACAGGCCCACAGCCGCTATATCAATCTGAGACAAAATGCTCCGTCAGAGGATGATTAAAGGTTGTTCTGTCTACGACAACTTTGAGACAAAAGAAAAACGGTTGCAGCATACAATAGTCGTGCTGGACACCAGATTTCTGTCCTTCGGCTGCTGCAGAAAGACAGCATGTCGTCCAGTGGACATGAAGTGGCCTCTACGCCTTTCTGTACAGCAGCGTTGGAAAACTGACCACTTGATGTGAACAACGCTGTGGTAGTTGCAGCACGTGACTCCTGAATCGTACGCACTACATCTTGCGAGAGATCCATCCTCTCAAAGATCTGCACAGCGGCCAAACCACAGGTGCTGGCCTAATCTGATTAATTCCTGATCGTTCCTCCTGCCTGGAAGGAAGCGTCCCCCCTCCACGGCAGGTTCCACGAGCGCCCTGATAAAAGATGTCGTAGGCCTGGGAACCATGATGCGTTCATGCACTTGGGGCAGAGGAGCCGTCAGTCCCTCCTCCTGAGTTTGGTTCAGAAAAACCGTGATACCAGAGGGAGAGAAGAAGGTGAAAGGCATTACGACCACAGGCTGTGAGCAGGCACGTCCACCCAGCGGTGGATCGTCCTACGGCTCCACGCTAATTATAATTGACATTGAGCGTTCTCTCGTGTTGCTACACATCCGCAGACGCTGGCAGGATTCTACCGTGTCTGAGTCCTAGTTCTGGGTGGAATACATGAGATGTACCCACTCCAATAGAGAACAGATTGAATGTGTCCCACACAGCATCTGTCTCACAATGTGGCACATGGATTGAAAAAATGCATACATTTTCTGCTAGTATATGTGCAACAGTCACTTGCTGTCTGAGAATCACAAACTCTGATGATTCTGCAGCTCAAGGTCAGTGTTGAGTCATATTCAAAGACCCCGTGCGACACTCCAAAACATTTAAAAGGCTGCTGTGTGGGGAGCCACAGCGCCCCACAGCTTGTTAAATGTGTGTGACGTAGATCTGCTGACGGAAAACAGCTGATATCACTCAACCGATTCACGTGAGTTGCACTGCTGCCCCCTGTCTGTACAAGCTGCTCAGCAGCAGCAGGTGTCCAGATAACGCAGAATTAAAGCGACTTGGCGCATAATGGAGTGTTGTTTCTCACAGCTCAGAAAATTGACAATCTAGAATAAATCTCATCTTTCTGGCTCATTGGGACCAGGAAGTGATGAGAGACCTTGTGTTTCCTCTCCATCTGAGATTCTAGAAATTACATTTCAAAAAAGAATTTCCTGATCTTCTACTAGAGGGGACGAGATCTGTTCATAGATGACAGAAAAAACGTCACAGAGTTCCTCCACACCGGGGTTTGAGCTGAACTGCAGCGTGAATCCCGGATGAAAACGATTCGCCCATCCGTCTGGAGGCGCGCGTTCATTGCCACCTGTTACAAGCTATAAAGCGGGCACGCATTTATGCTGTGAAAAACTCACATACATGCTGATGTGAACTGGAGCGCGCTGATGATCACGTTGTGTGCAGCTGCTCGGTGTAACGCTCGGAAGCGGGTGCACATATGAGCCGACGCGCCCTGAGGGTCGTGTGTGTGCGCCCTCATGCGACGCTTTAAGCCAGGATTGCCGCGGGGGCGCGCGTTGGCACTGGTGCGGTAAGGAGGTACTGCGCGCCAACGGTGGAGCGGGGTTACCACTGGCTCGGTCTGCAGAAAAATGTTCATCATTTGCTGCGGGTCACGTGAGCTTTTGAGTGATACCACGAGCTGCAATATTAATTCAGACACAACCCCTTCTTCGAGGATGTATGAACTGAGCCGCTGAAGGCTTGTGGGGCTGCTGACGCCGCGGGAGCGCGCGTTGGCACTGGAGCGGTCAGGAAGTAGCGCGCGGCATCGGTGAAGCGAGGCTACCCCTGGCTCGGTCTGCAGAAAAAAACGTTCATTCTTGGCTGCAAGTCACGTGAACTTCAGAATGATTCCATGCGCTGCAGTATTAATTCAGAAAACCTTCTTCGAGGATAAAGAAGCAGAGCCGCTGTGAGGCTTGTGAAACTGCTAACGCTGCGGGAGCGCGCGTTGACACAGCTGCAATGACAAAATGTGTGTCGCTTCTGCCGGGAGCGAGATACGTCACTGAGCTTGTACCGTGGTCTCACGTGAACGTTGACGTGAACGGCGGGTGCTGAGAGCTGCATGCGCACTTTCATGCCACGGGAGCGCGCATCGGCACCGCTGACAGTGAATGAAAACAACCTTAAAAAGGCTCATTCGTGATGAGTGTGTGTGATGGAGCTGCTTGTCAGATAAACCATGCTGACAGCCTGGCTAGGAGACACTTCATCATAAAATGATGTTATTTTACAGTGTCACCAACACACCTCCAGCGACCGGACACCTGATTACCTTCCGTTGAGCTCTGTTTGTTGTCCTGGAGGGCCCCCTGTTGGCGAAGTCCGGGAAAAAAAATAAACTTCCGGCTGCCGGGGACATCTGACGGGAGGGGCTGGCGTAGCAGAGCTGGGGAGGCGTTGAGCAGCCGTTGAGCAGCCGTGGAGCAGCTGTGGAGCATCTTGAAGTGATCTCTAGCTGATGAAAAGAGGATCACCAACGGACTCCTGCATTTCTCCTGAGAGGAAGGTGGAGTGACGGGCCAGGAGAGCTTCTGGGCCCCAGTTCTCCGGCTGCGATGCGGGGCGGCAGACAGCAAAAGAGGCGCACCGGTTGACTGAGCGTACTACAGGGGCCGGCAGCGTCGTTAGCAGCAGCCGCTGCGAGAGCGGAGTGAGCCGAAGGACAGAGGGCCACCGTCTCTTCCCGCCTCTGAACGTGTACGCCAACAGCGTAACGTGTTGTTCGCTGCGGCCGTGTGGAACACATGTTGGTGAGCTCAGTTGGAGAGCGGTGTCACCGTCTCCGTTAAACAGCGTAACGTGTTGTCCGCTGCGGCCGTGTGGAACACATGCTGGTGAGCTCAATCGGAGAGCGGTGTCACCGTCTCGGTTATGCTAACCGGAGGCACGGGACGCTGGTCCATCTCGAACATCTTACTCCAATGAAGCCTCCATCAGGCTCGGCTCCAGAGGGCATGGAGGGACTTTCCGCTCAGTGAACCCCTGCTCTGGAGATGGGTGCGGACTGTGGAGACCGGCTCCCCCAATCTACCAGGAAAGAACCCGTCTGTGGCCTCGCCCGTAGGACGTCCTGTTGGGAGCACGAGGCCATATGGATCAAGACGGTGAGCCGGAATGGAGCCCAGTAACAACCTTCCCACCGGATCATCCAAACTGGCGGGAAAGGCGTAGGAAGTAAAAAAGGGTCCTTTCATGTCAGCCTCCTCCTGGGTTACGCCGGGCAACCCCTGAGGGCGCCGTCGGCCGGGAGCAGTGTGATCGCCGATGCGAAACACGGTGGGATGGGGTGAGCATTCACTCAGCCCCCCTCCACCGACACTACGCTCCCCAGGAGGGAATGAGCAGCGGGGGCTGCAGCTGAGCACGCCTGTCCCGGAGGAACCATCCGATTCGCTCCGAGGGTCGGCGATAAGAGGAAAAAATACAAGATGGCGTTGTCCAGCGTGTAGTGACCTGTCACTGGGAAATACTCCTCGGCGCTTACCTTGGAATAGGACTGCTTGTCATCTTCTCCTCGGGGAGGAGAACTCACCGGACGACCGGAGGTCGACTGCCGGGCCAAGCATCCTTAACAAAGGTTGGTGATCTTACACAATTTTCCTTCTTTGTTCTTCTGACAGTGCTATTTTAGCTCGCTGAAGAAAAAATGGGAGCCAATTTCCCGCTCTTATTGTAATTTATACGGACCGGGTGGGGCCCACACAGCAGGTGGGCGTGGACTAAATTTTTTCAGTGCTTATGCTGCGCATAACGGGATAAACCCACTAAAGCGAAGGCCTTAAAGGGCGAAGTTTATACGACATAGAACTGCACATTATATTGTTATTTTATTATACAGTAAATAACACATTATCTTCTTCTGACTGTTGACTTTAAAGCTGAATTCTTTGCTCTTTAAGAATCACCTTGTTGGTACTAAAATGTACATGTCAAACATTTACATTTATATGTTACTGTTAGGTTCTGGGGTTGGATCTGGATGGGGTTGTTTTCCCTTTTTTCCTCCAGGAGGCGCCATTGGATTGTCAGGGGGGCGTGACGGGTTGCAGCTGACCTCACCACACACCTGAGGATCATCACAATTAGAGGAGGATAAGAGGAGATCGGAGCCGTCACTTCGACGCTAGAGTGTTACCAAGTCTCGGTACTTCAGGTCCTCCAGTGCTCCTTACGATCTCTAGAAAAGACTTTCCAAGTAATCTTTTTCGTCTCTGTTCCCTCAGGTGCCTCTCAGTGACGCAGTGTGCTCCCCGCACTAATTACCTGAGCTCCAGTTTTTTCCTGTGCAGTTTTCCTTGTGAAGACGTGGTATATACCCACTGGTTGCCCGAGTTCCTGCACCCCTCGTGCCTTCTCCTTTGTGACGCCGTGAAGAATCTCCACTGGATGCCCGAAACTAGAATCAAAGTTACTCCGAACCTCCCTCCATCTCTGAAGGCTCAGGCGGCGTTCGTTCTCCTCGGACCTCCTCGCTTCCCGGATTCTAGTGCTTACCTGTCCGCCCTCCAACGACTCCAATTCCATCCCTTGACCTCCTGGAAACCATCACGTACCACAGCAGAACTCCAGAACCTTACCTCCCTCGCTGGATTAAAGACAAGTTTCCTCCAAGTAAGCAATAACTCTCCGCTCAGACTACCGATTGCTAATTTCCCATTGTCTTGAACTCACCATTGACTCTCTTCCGTGTTTGCAGTCCACGCACCTCCGAAGCTGACCTCCCTGGACACTATTACCTGAATTGTTTTTTTTTACTATATATCCTACCAGTAAATAATAAATTCTTTAACCGTTTTCTATTCTGCCGAGTGTTTTTCTGCATGTGGGCCCGCCAGTTAAAACCCGACATGACAGTTACATGTCAAACTGTTATCTTTAGTATTTATTATAAATTCATCTAATCATCTATGTGACAAAATGCTAATAAATTAAAATCAATTCAGTTTATTTATAAAGCGCCAAGTCACAACAGAAGTCATCTCAGGGCACTGAACAGAAACATTCCTATGTAAAAATAATAATTTAACATTATTTATCTGAGTGTTAGCTAGCTAAAATCAGTTTTCCTGTTGTTTTTGTTTTATTTTATTTTTTTTACATTTAACATATGTTTAAATACATCAGCATACTCCGAGCAACTTTTTTAACTACTCATCAAAATGTTCAGATTATTCTGGAGATATGTGTGAGACCTTTAATTGGTTAAACTTCTACACATTTAAAATATTAACTTTTATTCAAACAAAATTTCCTACATTACACTGGAATCACTTTAATTTCCTCAAAACATTTTTCTTTTTACAATCTACTGCAGGATACTTGCTCTGTTTTAGCCTTATTATGCTACTTTTAGCTTTTAGCTACCATCCTGCTACTTTTAGCTATCCTTCTGCTACTTACAGCTTTCAGCTAGACTTTTTCTTCTTTTAGCTGTTTGTAAGGCTTATGTTAGCTTGTATTTTCTTCTTTTAACTATAAGCTAGCCTTTTGATATTTTCATCTTTTGTTGCGCTTCTGTTAGCTTTAGGCTAGCATTTTGCTTCTTTTAGCTGTTAGCAAGACTTTTGTTACTACTTTTTGCATTTGTCTAGCATTTTGCTATATTTATTTAGTGCTTTACTACTTCTAGCTTTTAGCTACCATTGTGCTCTTTTCAATTTCTGTTTTGCATGAATTAAAACAACTCAGTTTCAGCTTCTTAAACTAATTTCAGCAGTCCAAAAAAGTTCAATCTGGTCCTCTGGATATTCAAAAAAACAAAACAAAGCAAAAAAATATAGAAACGTTTCATCTCTCATCCGACGTGATCTGTCTTACATTGGGGAAACTAAACAGCCACTGGCCAAAAGGATGGCCCAGCACAGAAGATCAACATCATCAGGCCAGGATTCTGCGGTCTACACTCATCTCCAGGCCAGCAGTCACGCTTTCAGGGATGAAGATGTGCACATCCTGGACAGAGAGGAACGATGGTTTGAGAGAGGAGTAAAGGAGGCCATCTTTGTGAAAAGAAACCATCCATCATTAAACAGGGGTGGAGGCCTCCGGGTTCAACTGTCCCCCTCTTACAATGCTGTTATTGCTAGTATCACTCAACCCCCTGTGAATAGTAAACAGCCATCAGTGTGCTAATGATCCATTGTTAGGCTGATGGTCCTTCTTGACCATGTGAGCAGCTGGTTTTGGTTGTCAGCAGCAAACTGGTTGATCCACTCTGAGAAGGTGCTATTTAAGAGACTGAGCTGAATACAGCACCTCAGACTGAGGAAGTCTCTCGGATGAGAGACGAAACGTTTCTACATTTTTTTGCTTTGTTTTGTTTTTTGTTTTTTTGAATGTCCAGAGGACCAGATTGAACTTTTTTGGATTTTTCTACCTTGATTATTGAGCATGCATCAGGATAATTTCAGCTGTCATTCAGCACTAAGCACCCACTGCATCAATAAAATCAAATTTCTCACAGAATTGATTCTTCAAGTTGTTTAAGCACATAACTGATCCATCCATCCATCCATCCATCCATCCATCCGTTCGTCCGTCCGTCCATCCATCCATCCATCCATCCATCCATCCATCCGTCCGTTCGTCCGTTCGTCTGTCCATCCATCCGTCCGTCCGTCCATCCATCCATCCATCCATCCGTCTGTCCGTCCGTCCGTCCGTCCATCCATCCATACATACATACATACGTACTGTACATACATAAATTATTTTATTCATACATTTTGCAAATATTTCTTTAAATTTTTAATTTATTATTGTTATATTTATTTATTATTTTAAAAATATTTGTATTAATTTAAAATATATATATATTTAATATAAAAGATCTTGTTTATTTATTTATTTATATATTTGAATTATTTTATTGTTTAGGATTCTTTTATGTCTGAATGAGTTCAGTGTAAAATAGTGTAACAAACAAAAAATATATATTTTTAAAAATATTTAGGTACTGGAATAAAAATAATAAATAAAGTTTTTCAAACCCACTTTAAAAAATGCAACAGAACTTGGTTCCTTGGAAGTAAATACGATTCACGATGTTCTTGCAGGACTCTCTGACACAGTTATATCTGATTTTGTCACGATTGATCTTTTCAGCTGATACTCGTGCTGAGTCAGCTGCAGACGTCAATCATCAACATCCTGGCCTTAGATGGAAGCATCGCCTGCGCTCCTCCTCTCTCCTCCCAGGCTCGAGCATCCAGTAAGATGCATCTCATAAGTTTTTTTTTTAAGCAGATGTTTAGGCTGAAATGATCCAACACTTCCTGTCTGTTGTGCTTCTGTCCTGCAGTGTTGAGTCAGCAGATGATGATCATGGAGATGTTCATCATCAGCCTGGTCACTCGGTTTTTGTATCATCGCACGTATGACCCACTTCCTTCTGAGGCGCATGATGACCAGCAGGACAACAAGGCGGCCCTGCAGGCTGCTCTGGTGGAGCACAATGTTTAAAAAAAACAGTGTATCTTTTTATAATAGGTATTTAAGGTTTATTATTGTCAAAAGACAATATTTTACGTCATACTTCTTTTTATTTATTCAAGTTCTCTTTGGGCAACTTGCAACAGATTTGTTGTGTATCTGATTTTATTAAAATAATAGTAACAAGAATAGGTTTACTTTAAACTCATAAAGAGAAATAGATGTTTACCTTTTTGTTTACATTACAACAACAAATATTTCTAAATTAGTATTTTTGTTATTGCCGTTCAGAAAGTATAAAACTGGTTAGCCTAGCTTTGTAGCACGTTACTGAGCAGATTACCATTTGCTGAAAGCAAACCCAAAACAATAAACTTTAACAATGTGTTGTAGGATTTATACCAAGTTCATTGTGCAAACGTGTCTTAGCCTTTCCATCTGTCTTTGTCAGATAATTATTGAAATATAAGTTGGCTTTTTATCTTGAGGCACAGAGAAACATCTACACACCCAGGTACAGTTCACACAGAAAACCAGTTTTTATTTGCCAAAGTGTCATCAAAAAACTATTTATTTTGTGTGTAAGAAGGAGAAATGTAAGTGATGACATGTGACCTAGAATTATATAATTTTTATATATATAATAAAGTTGGAAACATTCTGATATGTTTTGGCCGTTTAATAATTTCTTATGTAGGTCACAGGTTGCATAAACCTACAACAAAAGGAAGTTTTTTTTTTTTTTTTTCAAATCTTCCCAAGATCCCAAACTTTGTGATTCACGGCCCAAAGCATGGCCCCACACCAGCTTTGGGAACCATTTATCAAAGTCTTCTGTTTTCTACTTTAACCTGAAACTTTCTTTGTAAGGTTTCACTTAATGTATGTCACCAAATCACATCAGTCCAAAACATCTGCAGTTGATTATGCCTGCTGTGAAATGAAGGTTCTTCTAACAGAAGCCGTGGAAAAAATAACCAGATTTGTTCAGAGCTTGCTGACCCACTTACTCTGACTTATGTGGATGAGGCAGCAGAGTTATTTTTAAGACCGTGTGTGCATTTTTTCTACATTTTGATCCACATGCACTTCTGCACACAACCACAAGATGCCACGCATATTTCACCCTCGATTAAGATAATTTCAGTAAAAACAAAAATCACCATATTGCTATATAACTTATCCTCACAACTTACATGTCCTTACAACTTGGTTTGAATTTACAAGTGTGAATACATTTTATTTATGAAATACAACCCTGGTTGCTCCGGTTAAATTTTAATCCACATATTTTAGTTTTGTTGTTTTTAATTAAACTTGTGCTTTTTGTCACACAATGAAGAGGAAATTAGAAACACCCTCTGTCCATACATTTGTGCATGATGTGAGCACAATAACATAAACTAAATGAGGGACTAACGTCCATTTTGGTGTGATCCTACCTCTTAGCGTAAGAAAGTTGCCTTTTGAAAACAGAGTTGCTACATGGATGGCTACTGTCATATATAAGTAAATTGCCCAAACCAATAATTTGAGGAAACCATGCTTTCTAGTTTTTATTTAGGTTAAAAAGTGTAGTTCCTTCAAATTAGGGTGACTGAAGGCTAATCTATGTGGGCCAAGGCCACCATTGGTCACCCCCTGGCTCATCCATTTCACCTGGTGGTGAATAAAACTGCTCCCTCTGCTCTCCAGGATCCGTCACTCTGTCTGGACTCCCTTGGAGAAACAAACAACAAAAATTAAAAGACTTCCCTCTGTTCTTCACAGTGTAACTCCTCCCTACTTGAATATCTTGCACCAAAAACATTTAGGTTTACTTCATTTTCTGCTCATTTCCAGTCCAGAAAAACATTCATCTGGAAAACTACAAACATTCACTATTCAAATCCCTCTGTGACGGGGGACATCGTCATACTTCTTGTTTAAAGTTAGTTGCAGAACAATGAGTAAAAAACACAAGACCTGATACATTTAGAGGATACACCTAATCTATTTTAAATGTAATGATAATTTTGTAGCATCAGCTAAAATCAAGTCCTGCTGACAAATGTTTTAAAATCCTTATAAGACTAGTTAGTTTCTGTACAATAAATAGAAATCTGTGTTAATGACAAATGTAAGCTGCAAACTGAGGTAATCTGAGATGTTTATATAAAAACAAGATCATTCAGAAGCCAAAAACTGACGCCGTTAATGCAGCGTTTGTTTGGCTGTTTATGTAAAAACAGTCATCAGATGGAGAGAGAGAGAAATCTGTGGTTCGGGCCTGCTCATGACGGCCCCCTCGGCTCTGCAACAGTGACAAAAGCTGCTGAGCTCCTCAGTTGCTACGGCAACCAGGGAGAGCAGCCAGAGGAAAAAAAAAAAACGGAGGCAAAGGGGAGGGGCTTTAAGGGAGAAATAGAGGAGAAAAGGCTGGATGAGAAAGATAGGCAGAGGGAGGAATACAAGCAACTGATAAAGGAAACCCATCGTGAGCAGCAGAGAGGGGCTATAAATTGAGGTTCAGCTCTGGACGTTGTAGCTCCATCCACAACTCTGGCACTAATAACTGCAGCAGATCGCTGAAGGATACAGAAAAAAGAGCTGGAATTACAGAGACGATGGATGTACAGACAGAAAACACAGACCCCCCGCCTAACGAGTCGCAGCCGAGTGGAAAAATCAGAAAGGGATTCAAGTTGTTTGGCAAACGCAAACCAGGCAGCATATTTTCTATCCGCAGCAAAGGGGATGGGAACAACAAGTCACCTGTTATAAGCAGCAAAGCGTTGGATGGATTATCCGAGACTCCCGCGTCAAAATCTGAGGCGGAGAAGGAAAACGGGCATGAGGTGGAACGAGGAGAGAAGGAGCAGGTGGAGGACGACATGCTTGGTGAAGATGGCGTTCTGGCTTCCGCCCCAGCTCGCACCTCCATCTCTTCAGCCAGCTCAGCCAAGTCCCTCAGCTTCCTTTCCCTGCTCAGAGGAGGCAGGAGGGGAGCAGGGGACCGCCGAGTCCACACCGTGTCCCAGCCGACGGGTCGGCAACGTCGTGGGCTGAAGGGCCTCTTTGGCAGCGTCAGGCTCCGATCGAAAGACAAAGAGGACCAGGAGAAAAGCCCTCCAAGCCCACTTCTGATGTCATCTCGTGCTAACAGTGTGGAAATCATCAAAGAGGACATGACCCTCACACCAAAATGCCAAACACGCTCTCTGAACAGCCCTGATACAGACAGCAGTGACCCCATCCAGAGCAACAGTGGACAGATGTCTCCATCAGAGTCCTCAGACCCCAAGGAGATGACAGGAAGTGGAGCAAAAGCAGCACCTTCACCCACCTCTGAACCACCGCTGGCACCTGAGGATACCAGCTTGAGCTCATTACTGGCAGATATCTCTTCTCTCCTGACCTTTGACTCCATCACAGGGCGAGACATCATGGCTGACGTGGAAGCAGAGTGGGGCAAAGCGAGCAGTGCCATCAGTTCGTCATCCTTTTTCTCCAAGCCCACCATCTCCTCTCTGTCGACTTCCACTACCATCAGTATGGCTGCTACAGAAAAACACTCTTCTGTCTCTACCTTCACGACGTTCGCCAAACCTTCCACTATCACTTCAGGCTTCAACTCTTCTGCCAGCAATCAAGATGCAACAAAGCCCTCCACCACACCTGCAGCTTCATCTCTACTAACATCTTTTACTTCAAAGACAGTCCACTCCACTTCAAGCTTCACTTCTTCTACCACGGTCCCTGCAAACACACTGTCCACGATGAACAAGGCTCCTTTAATTTGTCCAAGCAAACTGACTTCAGAGATCGCTTCACCTCCCCAAAATACTGCCTCAGTAAGTACACCCGACCCTGTATCTGTTTCACCTGCCATGTCTGCTAAACCACATGTAACCCAGAGTTTTTACAGCACCTTCACCCAGCCTCCCCCTACTAATTCAGAAACAGTTTGCATTTCAAACCTAGAAAAGTCCACTTTCAGCAAAACCTCCCAAATCTCAGCGGCAGGACAATCAACGGCCGTGGGGTCATTCACGTCATGGGTAGTTACAACTGAGCCCTCTTCTTCTGCATCAACTAATCTGTCAAAGATGACGACCGTTTCTGCAGTAGCTACAACCTCAGTCTTTGTATCCACAGCCAGTTCCAAGCCCTCCCTCACCTCAACCCACCTGGACTTGAATAAAACCCCTCCCTTATTTGTAACCAGTTCAGCTCCCGGTCCTTCAACAACCACGAAAACCCAACCCAGCTCCACGTCTTTCCCAGCTCCAACTTCGATCTCTTTAGATAAGAAGCCCCCTCTGTACGCTGCGGTTCCTTCTACCAACACAGCATCACGACCCCCAACGGCTCTGAGTCTGATCCACAGCTCTACCTCCGGAAGTCCTCCTGCTGTATCTAAGGAACTCACTGCTTCAACTCGAGTAGAAGATTTTCAATCTAAAGTGACCTCTGCCACAGCTGAAGTCCCACTTTCTGCATTAAAAGATCCATCTGCTCTCATTAAATCACAGGTTTCTTCATCTAAAGCTCCATCTCCCCCCACTGAGGTTCCAATATCTGTATCTAAACCCTCTCCTGCTTCTGCTCAGATCCCATTTTCTCAGCCTAAAACCCAACCTGCACCTCCCGCTGCTTCTTGCCATGCAGCTTCTCCTCCATCTCTTCCTGTTTCTTGGCCAAGTGAGAGTGCAGCCTCTGCTAAGATGAAGGGGACGGGACAGACATCAATGGATCATCAGCCGACCAGTCCAGATGGCATAGGTGGACAGGGAAGCCAAGCTGTGCTCTCAAAAACAAGAGAACTACACGAGTCCCAAACAAGCCTCCAGGGGCCCACCAAAGAAAAGAAGCCAACACAATCAAAAGCATCTGGCCTTAGTAAAATACCTGTAGTTGGAGGTGGAAGAGTGGGTAAGCTATCCGTCCGGGAAGGCCAACATGGCAACGATGAATCGAGCAGGGACCCACCTACGCCTGTGCAAGAAGAAAGGCCCAGTTTCAACTCTCATGATATGAGGAGCAATGATAAAATGAGTCCAACTGAAGCAAAAGCACACACTTTTAAACAGACTGAGGAGGAGAGTCAGCAGCTCCAGCAGCCAAAAAGTCTTACGAGTTCAGCACGTGACTCAAAGATCCCGGTGAAACACGGCACTCAAGTCTCTCAGACTAAAGAACCCCCCCGTACGAAGATCCCCGTGTCCAAAGTTCCTGTCCGCAAATCTGGGAACAAGCAAGCCACTACAGGAGGCACCAACCAGATGAGGAAATAACACCACGGAGCTAAGCAGCTAACGATACACGGATTGTGTTTTTATGCCACTCTTTTTAAAATCCACATTTCTCTGCTGTAATTCTGTCATCTCTTGGCTTCACCACATTATAATAAAGGACAGCTCACAAGCACAAAACATCTCCAAGAGAAGCTGGTATGACGGCCGGGCCCTTTGGTGCTGAGCCAAGACACGAACTCAGAAAAGGTTCGAAGGACAGCCCTTCGCAGCATCTGTAAGAAAAGAGAACTATCGAAGGTTGGCTGTAATTTGGGATCAAATGCACACTCACAATCTGAGGGAGTGCCTTCTTAAAGGTGCTTTTCCTATAGACTTGATGATTTTTTTTCCAGTCTTTTCTACTGTAACTTATACCTTTTGTTACCTCTTGCTTTTTGTAGGGCACTTTCAGTCTTTTTGTTCTTTCTTCCAGCAAGTTTCTTGATAAACCTTTCAACCTTTAATTTATGCCAGGAGATGAAACACGGGACCTGTAGGATGCAATGTATCGACCAAATTTACATTCCACACCTGTCGATGGATTTATGTAGCAGAAAGAAAAATGTGCCATTAATTATTTTTACACAAGCTATTAGACTGTACAGCGCCTGCTCATGTGTAACAATATAACATCTCACTGTGAACTATTCATCACAAGTGGAAAATAACTGTTGAAATGGACTGAGGACATTTGAGTTAGGCAAAGAAAGGGGTGAGATGAGATCTCCAGCTCGAACACTGGCACATGTTTACCCTGATATCCGTTATACCCTGATAAGAACAAAACCTCAGTAGAGATGCATCAGTATTGTTCTGTTTCCTATGTAATCAATAAAACAGCATCAGTATTTAGAAAGAGCTTTAAGTCGTCCATTATATCCTCTTTTCTAGACTTCTTCACTTTGCAAACAGAAGTGAGCTCTGCATTACTCACCATTTACACTCTAGGCTCTGTTCCAGTATCCTTCACAGTCCAAGCTCATTGACCTGAATAGTGAGCTGAGTTCAGCCAATCAGCTTCGAGGGAAAATGCTTTACATACATACCTTATTATCAGTATAAAAAAGGGTCTGGGAATGTGTGTCACTGCTATTCTTAGAATAAAATGGATCTGCTTCAGATAGCTTAATATCACTGCAGCTACAAAGAAGCATGCAATTATTCTAACAGAACAGGCTTTAATAACTGATCAGGTTATCGATAACGCTGCTCAAAGTAACTACAGCAGTCACAGTGAAAGCTCACATTGAGGATGAGAGCTGATTTTAGTCATGAGGATGTTAAAAAGCATCTAAGTGCAGAACAAAAATAGAGTGTTTCTTTAAGGAGAGCAGCAGAAGTGACACAAAAAGACCTTTGTTTCCTGTAAAAAGCTGCAGGCAGCAAGCTGAGAGACAAGGGCCATGATCTGCCTGAGAATAACACAAGGAGTTCATCGCATGAGGTGCTGATCCAGAGAGGTCCCAGAGGAGGAGCAGTTCCCCTTAAACGCTCAACACAGCTGCTTCCTGGTAACATCTGTATTTGGAGAATTTGGCTTTAAAGGGCTCTCCGTGCACATATTGACCGTAATATGTTGCTATTTCTCTATTCTACTAAAAGGTTTGCAAATCATGGAAACTTCTAAAAATGATAAATGTTTGTTACATTTTTCACCTAAGTTTGTCACCATCGTTTTACCAGCACAATACATTCTGGGGCGATGATGTACATCGGTTTTAGTGGAGAGTAATAAACAAGGAGTCAAGAGCTCTGCAGCTAAATCTGTAAATTAATCAGAAGCAAATGTCATACATCTTAGCACTGGAGCTAACGTTTTATACATGCATATATATATATATATATATATATATATGCATGTATA